GGAGTGGAGAGGTTTGGATTGGGAGCGATAAGAAAGTGGGAGGAGGAAACAAAGTGGACATTTACATATTCATTATTATGAAGTAATATAAAAATCAATAGAAGATAACCAATGAAGAGATTGGAATCTGGAGAGCCAAGACATTTTCTTTTGGTAAATATGTTTAGGAGGCAACTGGGACCTCTGTATTCACAGAGAGGATTCCGTCAAATCTCCTGTGAGTCTAAAATAAATGTTGTTAACAGCTTCTATATTTTATAGCTGTGGGGATGGTGAATGCCAGGTATTCTTCCCACTTTATCTTTGCTATCAATGTCCATGAAAGTGGCAAAGATACACTTTGTCCATATGTGTTTAAAAGGTATCAATTATTTCTAAATAGTGTTGTTGCACCGGCTTTGTCACCTGCCCCAAAGATCTTCCAGAAAAGAGTCTTGACCTCGCAGCCTAGCTTTCTTTACTTTACATGTACTTATGGTGGAGGATCCTCTTTGTCCATATGTGTTTTAAAAGGTATTAATTATTTCTAAGTGGTGCTGTTGCCCAGATTAATGTGTCTTTATTTTTGCAGTTTGTCTCACAAAACTCACTTCTCTAATGAAGACATGGAATGGCTTTATGTAATAAACCTGGGTCTGGATCAGGAGACACAATACAGAGAGCCAGTGGACTGGAGTGCCATGACCCTGGGCAGGTGGTTTTGGATCAACCACCTAACCAACAGCTTGAGTGGGAAGGAGAGAAGTGGCTGTCCTTCGAATTCTTTGCCATCTGTTCAGATTTTTCTTTCTCACTTTGGGCATAGGCATCCAGTCTCCTCTCATTGACACAGTCAGTCAGGAATTAGGTTTCTCAGTAGAGGTCCATTGCCTTTGGGCAGCAGGTATATGTCTTTGATACACATATACTGAGCTGTAGACAATAGTTTGATAAATTTCCTATGAATTTCTTAAGACCAAATTACATTTAGGCAGCCCAAATCTATTCAGCACTGCCTTTGTCACCTTCCCCAAAGATATTCCAGAAAAGAGTCTTGACCTCGCATCCTCCCCTTCTTATCCTGGCAGGCACTTAAGGTGGAGGAAACCACTTTGTGTCTGATTGAAACTGAAGAATTCTTCCAAGGCAGATTTTGGCAGCTATGAAGCCCAAGCACAGAAAGAGAGCCAAGAGACAGTTTAACAGGAGTGTTGTGGCCAATCTCAGTAAGTCTACCACCATGATAAAGATGCCTCTTAGTATGAGATGCATGCCACCTCTCCAGAGAAGAATGGGACAACTCTCCAGAAGCAAAAATTCTAGGACACCAAAGATGCAGCAATTTATGTTTAATGTTAATAAACATGGTTTGGATGGGACAAAAGAAAAACAGATTTGTGGACTCACAATGATTTCATGTGATTTGGCACACACAGGCTTCTGGTTCTGAATACTTCTCGCTCAGTGGGTTTTGGAGATTGTGGTGACCCTGAACCTAGCTGGAGGCTTTGGGGCCTGAAAGGACAAGCCTTGATATTTCAGGACATCCTTTTCCTTGGTTTCCACTCTTTACTGATTTCCATACAGAGAATGAGCAGCCATCTACTCCTGGAGCCATGCCATCCCACATGAACAGAGAGAACACCCTCCACACCCAGGTTGCTTGTATCACATATGAAGGCATAAGTCACAAACAACCTCCCACACCAGTTTAGGATTTTGATTAATAGAATGATTATTTCATTAAAGGGCAAAAACATACAGATGACCATCCCTGACAAAAGCCCTCAGCGGGATCAGGAAAGGAGCCTAGAAGCCAGAAGTGAAACTGGAAGCAAGAGATCAAGCTGAAGGTAAATGTTGGTTTTTGAAAGAGAGAGAGACCACACCTCAATGGGCTGGTAAGTCAGTGGCTATTGGCTGAAGGAGTGGTAGAAACTCAGGCAACACACTTATTTGGATATAGCAAAAAAAATGTTACTAGAGGGTGAGAAAAAAAAAACTATTTTAGTTTATTTATTTCAGTCCTTCCAGACACATCACAGAGATAGGATCTCTTCATGCATGAGAGTCACCGATGATTTCCCTTTAAGAAAATACACACAAAACTCCGAATGACATCATCAGCCTTCAACAACATGTCTATGATTGCTTTGCCTTGCCTTTGCATGTCAGTAAATGATGCTGCTAGTTAATCTCTGCAAGCAGTGCAAATTTCCCTGTAACTAAATAGACAGAATTGACAGGTTATCTTAAACACATCAGGGAGTCACACTAAGATCGAATGGGTTAATCATCACCAGTGAGACAGTGACATATTTAAGATCTTTCCTTTGTCTATAAATCTCAGAATTGTCAACATCTGTTGTCATACAGATTGCTTAGGGTTTTGTCCCACTGGTGGTTTCCTTGGTATGCTTCCATAATTTTTGGCAGATCCAATCAGTTTTGCCATGCACTCTCAGCTCCACCTCATTGTGTTCCCCTTATGTTCTAGTCCAGGCATTTTTGACATCTTGAAACTGTTGCAAGAGTATCTCATGTTCCACCTAAATGATTTGGAGTGTTATTTAGGCTGGGTTTTATCTTCCATCCATGAGTAAATTGACTTTCCTTGGGCATAATTCCTGGGACACTGAGCCTAACTCCTGGGAGATTTCTCTAGTTACTTATCCTTGCTGAGACAGCTTACACTCCCAGTACTACTATGACAGTATTTCTGTAGCAAACATTCTTCTCAAGATGAGAAGAAATTTCAATATTACAATCCATTTGTTTTTATTGTGATTTAAACACACACACACACAAGTTAATGCAAATACACTGATGATATCAACTTAGTGGGCCATTCTGGGGTTGTCAAGAACTTTATCTTTCGAGGGGTTCTTAGAGAGCCATCGGGTGAGCACCTCTAGTAACTTGGGCAGGTGAGGAGAGGTTGACTGCACTGTGCCATGTCCATAGTCACCATGGGTGACTTGTCCTATAGTCAGACTGATGACTATCTTGAATATCAACATGGAACTTTTGTATGGCAAATGATGGAGATCAAATCAGGGTAAAATTCACAAAAGTAGATGGAGCTTCCAAGCTCCAGTTGAATAGCCGACTGATGGAGAATAAGAGCAAGGATGTCAGGAATAAAATGGCTTGGTCCACACACTGTGACACTGAGACACTGTGCCTGAACGAAGGGGATTTCAACTAAACCATTGGCCTGGGAATGAAAGAACATGGGATCAAAGTGGAAGCTCTGAATGTGTCTGACAATTGTGGCAGACTGGGAAGCCAATGGTAATGACACTGTCATTTGTCTGCACTTCATATACAGGCTTCTTTGTGATCCTATTCTATGTGGATGGCTACATTCCTAAATCTCGATGGATGAAGGCTGGGCTTGTACTTCCCACAGGTCAAGGAATGCCGCCAACAATTTGGATTGGAGTAGGAGTAGAGAGGTTTGGTGGGGAAGTGAGAAGAATGTGGGAGGAGGAAATGAAGTGGAAATTTTGATATTCATTATTATGAAGTAATATAAAAATCAATAGAAGATAACCAATGAAGAGCTTGGAGCTAGGAAAAAAAAAACATTCATGTGAGTTGTTGACTCAGACACCAAAGATTTTTTACGGAAAAAAAAAAACACACATAAAGAGATTGAGTTACTTTGCAAAATATGACTCATGTATTTGGGAAGATGAGTGGGATTTTTATTTTGGGTCTCCAGGCGGCTGTGTGAGCAGCATTATAGGACCTGCATGCTGGATATTTCTGTGGGTAAGTAGGGAACAAACCTGCCTATGAGGGGTGTTATGACATAAGTATAGCCTTGGTGATGTCACAAAACTGTGGTTGGGGTTGGCAACTCTCTTCCACATGAAGCACTAGTCTTCTGTGAAGGTGTGCTTACTATCTTCACGGTTGCTGAGGAGGTGAGTTCAGCTCTTGGGCTCCACAACTGTTCAACAGGATTAGGCAGCTGAACATTTCCAGAAGATGGAATCTGGAGAGCCAAGACATTTTCTTTTGGTAAATATGTTTAGGAAGCAACTGGGACCTCTGTAGTCCCAGAGAGGTTTCCTTCAAATCTCCTGTGAGTCTAAAATTTATGTTGTTAACAGCTTCTATTTTGATAGCTGTGGGGACGGAGAATGCTAGGTATTCTTCCCACTTTATCTTTGCTATCAATGTCCAATTCATCAGTTCACGAAAGGGGCAAAGATCCTCTTTGTCCATATGTGTTTTAAAAGATATTAATTATTTCTAAATGGTGCTGTTGCCCAGATTAATGAGTCTTTATTTTTGCAGTTTGTCTCACAAAACTCACTTCTCTAGTGAAGACATGGAATGGCTTTATGTAATAAACCTGGGTCTGGATCAGCTGACACAATACAGAGAGCCAGTGGACTGGAGTGCCATGACCTGTGTCAGGTGGTTTTGGTTCAACCACCTAACCAACAGCTTGAGTGGGAAGGAGAGAAGTGGCTGTCCTTCGAATTCTTTGCCATCTGTTCAGATTTTTCTTTCTCACTTTGGGGATAGGCATCCAGTCTCCTCTCATTGACACAGTCAGTCCGGATTTAGGTTTCTCAGTAGAGGTCCATTGCCTTTGGGCAGCAGGAATGTGTCTCTGATACACATATACTGAGCTGTAGACAATAGTTTGATAATTTTCCTATGAATTTCTTAAGACCAAATTACATTTAGGCAGCCCAAATCTATTCAGCACTGCCTTTGTCACCTTCCCCAAAGATCTTCCAGAAAAGAGTCTTGACCTCGCATCCTCCCCTCTTATCCTTGCAGGCATTTATGGTGGAGGAAACCACTTTGTGTCTGATTGAAACTGAAGTATTCTCCCAATGCAGAGATTATTAGCTATGAAGCCCAAGCACAGAAAGAGAGCCAAGAGACAGTGGAACAGGAGTGTTGTGGCCTATCTCAGTATGTCTACCGTCATGACAAAGATGACTCTTAGTATGAGATGCATGCCACCTCTCCAGAAGAAGAATGGGCCAACTCTCCAGAAGAAAAAACTGAGTAAGCCTTTTGAGGCCCTGGAGAATATTGTTGGCCGAAGCATTTCTCATGGCTGGAAGGAAGCCAATGAACCAGTCACCCAGTGGAAAGCCATCATTGTAGATCAACTGCCAACATTTCCCTCTCTCTATTTGTTGAAATATGATGGGATTGATTGTGTCTATGGCTTGTGGCTTCACAGCGATGAAGTGATTTTAAACCTTAATGTACTGTCGAATAATGAGCCATTTCCTCAGGTGACAGACACTCATCTGGCAAACACCATAGTTGACAGTGCTGTGAAACATACATTCACGGGCACAAATGGCTCTAAGGAAGACTGCAATGGGATGGTCCTAGAGGAGGTGCCAATAATGAAGACCTGGTTCTATATTACCTACAATAAAGATCCGGTCTTGTATATTTACCACCTCCTGGATGACTACCTTGAAGGCAAGATCCACATCATGCCAGGCTCTAAGGAGGAGTGCAGAGGCGTGGTCCCAGATGAGGTGCAGACCATGATGACCTGTTTCTACATTGTCAAGGAGAATGATCCAGTCCTGTACCTTTACCACCATCTTGATGACTCCATTGAAGGCAATGTCCACATCATGCCTGAATATCCTCCAGTAGAGGTGACTTTGGAATTAGGCAGGGATTCCATGGCAGGCAAAAGTGTGCAGTACAACAAAAAAGATGGAACACAAGAGATAGGTAAAATTATTTGCCAAGTTCCCACCAAAACTTCTGTGTGTTTCCTCAAGATTAATAATGAATTCAATATCTATGTCTATGATTTGGTGAAGATCTGTTAAAGTGAAATTCTCAAATTTTGAGGGGCACACTTAAAACTGTGTTTGGGGAATGTGTTTTTTTTTTCAGAGATACCTCAGGTCTTCTATTAATCCTGGTATTTTTTCCAATGGAATATTCTTGCTCGAAAAATAAAAATTTGTGAACATGTTGTGTTCTTTGGTGAATGATAGATTGTGATTGGTGGATGGGACATCACAGAAATACATGCCTCAAAACAAAGCAGGATTTATGGTCTTTCCACTTGGAGAGGATGGACTGGGGATGCTTGGTGTGGTACAGGACAAGATGGCTGTCTAGGAAGTAATGGAGAGGGGACAAAAAGTTGTAGGATCTCGGGGCGGGATAAAGTTTGAGGGAAAAACATGTCAACTGGAAAGATGTGACAGATATCAGAGTGAGGTATTGGGACTTTAGAGGATAAAGAGTAGATTAATCAGGAAGGGACACAAATGTATTCTCAAAATCAGAGAAAATTAGGTTTCATTTGATGAATAGTTTAATTCGTACTGGCTGTAAGTCACTGGATGTTTGATATCCACTGGAGCATGTTGAGTGACCAGGAGCCTCCTGCTTAGAGAAAAGTGTCTCCGCCCAGTTGCTCTTCAGCAGTGGGATGGATGTCAAGCTACCTACTTCCTTTTGTCAGAATTCTTTCTGCCACCTACTTTGTCATGCCTGGATTGGGTATGCCTTGAACTCTCATAGGTCCTTTGCATGCCATCCAACCCTTGTGAGTTCATTTAAATAATTGCCCTGTCATATCTGGAAAACAGTGTTCCCTTTCATTGATCATGTTCTGTAGGACTTGGGCTATAAATCTCATCAACAGACGCATCCACACACAGGATAAACATGTACACATTGATGCCCACTAATGTGTGACATGCACACATATGATGAATGCACCGATCTCCATCAAATCAGTAAACGAGGGAATCCCTGATGCTAGGTGGAGTGTGGCAAATACCCCACAAACCCATCAGACCCAAAAATACCAGTATGGTATTGATGTCTGACTCCCATCATGTAAGGATCCTGCCATCCTGTAACGGGGCGATTTTTGCTTCCTTGATCTTCACAAACTTGGTTAAAATGTTAGAGTTGTCAAACTGCCAGTTAGGGTCCAGCATGTAGATCAGCTGTCTCAGGTCAGGTGATTTGGCTACAATTTGGGTGAGAACTTGTACCAGGGAATTCTGGTACACCCTCACCTCTTCTTCTCCCAGTCCTCATCATCACTCTTGTGGCTGGGATTGGAGCTCAAAGAAGGCAAAATGAAAGAAGCCTCCTCCTCAGTGGAAATCAGTGTTTATCTTTCATATGACCTGACTCTCACAGGGAATGCAGCATATTTTATCGTTCTAGGTCTCCTCATTCAATGGTTCACTCATTTTCCCAATGAATGAATGAATTCATCCATTCTTCCATATCTCTCTCTCTCTCTCTCTCTCTCTTCTTCCTTCCCTTCTTGCATTTCCCCCTTTATAGTAGTAATTTGAGCAGTGGGGCTGCGTCCCCAGCACCATGGCTGCCTAGCTATCTTATGCCCCGAAATAATAACACAAAAACTGTATTCTTTTAAACACGCCCTGGCCCATTATTTTCATCCTCTTAACCCTTTTCTAATAATGTCTGTTGCAGCACGAGGTATGCTTACCAGGAAAGATTCAGCATATCCGACCTGCTGGCTGGCTGCATCGCCATCTGCCTCAGAGAGCAGAGCTACAGTGTCTGCCCGGGAGAGGGGTGCTTGGCATCTCTGAGCTCACTTTCTTTTTCTCTCAGCATTCTGTTCTCTTTACTCCTCCCACCTATGTTCTAACCTATCAAGGGAAGCAGATTTTTATTAAATTAAGCAATGACATTCTTCCATCACTTTATTCTTTCAACAACTTGCCCCAAAAAATCGTCCATGTCTCTTCTGTTGTATAATCTTTCATTTGTAAAGAACTTGCCCTCTCAGGGAAGGATTTTTCTGACATCTCTGTGGATGGAGGTCATATGAGGAAGATTAGATGACCAACCATGACAACTCGTATGCTGTAGAGTTTGGTGGACCAGAGTTTGATTGCTGACTATCCTGTGCTACGTGTCAGATGCCCATGAACTCTGCCCCTGTTGTCAGACAGGCAGACAACAAGGTAGTCACACATACTTAACTCATTCAGTGTTCACAGATCATGTAGATTGAGTTCTAATTCTTCTCCTAAACTAATAAAGAAACCAAGATTAGGAGAAGAGAGGAGCCTGAAGTAAGGCCTCAAAATGGGTCGTTGTGCAAAAGCAAGGTTACCTGCCTCCATTAAAGCTCTCTCCCTTTCTTAGTCAAATCCATCCTTCCATAGAGTAGCTATAGGCAACCGATTTTTCACCAACAGCTAAGCATAGGTTTGAACCCAACAGCCTTTGATTTCTGAAATAAGTGCTGTCCCCTTAAGGTCTCATAACAACACAGGAAGCTTTGTAAGAGTGTCCCAGCAACAATTTAAAGCAATTCTAGGACACCCAAGATGCAGCAAGTTATGTTTATTGGTAATAGACATGGTTCTGATGGGACAAAAGAATGTAGCATTAAAAAGCAGATTGGCGTACTCACGATGTTTTCATGTGATTTGGCACACACAGGCTTCTGGTTCTGAATACTTCACGCTCAGTGGGTTTTGGAGATTGTTGTGACCCTGAATCTAGCAGGAGGCTTTGGGGCCTGAAAGGACAAGCCTTGATATTTCAGGACATCCTTGTCCTTGGTTTCCACTGTTTACTGATTTCCATTCAGAGAATGAGCAGCCATCTACTCCTGGTGCCATGCCTTCCCACATGAACAGGGGGAACACCATTCACACCCAGGTTGCTTGAATCACAAATGAAGGCATAAGTCACAAACAATCTCCCACACCAGTTTAGAATTGTCATTAATAGAATGATTATTTCGTTAAAGGGCAAAAACTTACAGATGACCATCCCTGACAAAAGCCCTCAGCAGGATCAGGAAAGGAGCCTAGAAACCAGAAGTGAAACTGGAAGCAAAAGATCAAGCTGAAGGTAAATGTTGGTTTTTGAATGAGAGAGAGACCACACCTCAATGGGCTGGTATGTCAGTGGCTATTGGTTAAAAGTGTGGAAGAAACTCATGCAACACACTTATTTGGATATAACAAAAAAAAAAGGTTACTAGAATGTGAGAAAACAAAAACTATTTTAGTTTATTTATTACAGTCCTTCCAGATACATCACAGAGATAGGATCTCTTCATGCATGAGAGTCACCGATGATTTCCCTTTAAGAAAAAACCCCACAAAAAATAAAAATATAAAAAAAAGAAAAAAACCCCACAAAACTCCCAATAACATCATCAGCTTTCAACAACATGTCTATGATTGCTTTGCCTTGACTTTGCTTGTCAGTAAATGTTGCTGCTAGTTAATCTCTGCAAACAATGCAAATTTCCCTGTAAGTAAATAGACAGAATTGACAGGTTATCTTAAACACATCAGGGAGTCACACTACGATGGAATGGGTTAATCATCACCAGTGTGACAGTGACATATTTAAGATCTTTCCTTTGTCTATAAATCTCAGAATTGTCAACATGATATGTTGTCATAGAGATTACTTAGGGTTTTGTCCCACTGGTGGTTTCCTGGGTATGCTTCCATAATTTTTGCCAGATCCAATCAGTTTTGCCATGCACTTTCAGTTCCATATCATTGTGCTCCCCTTATGTTCTAGTCCAGACATTTTAGAGATCTTGAAACTGTTGCAAGACTATCTCATGTTCCACATAATTGATTTGGAGTGTTATTTAGGCAGAGTTTTATCTTCCATCCATGAGTTCATTGACTTTCCTTGGGCATAATTCCTGGGACACTGAGCCTAACTCCTGGGGGATTCCTCTAGTTACTTCTCCTTGCTGGAAAGCTTACACTCTCAGTACTACTATGACAGTATTTCTGTAGCAAACATTCTTCTCAAGATGAGAAGAAATTTCAATATTACAATCCATTTGTTTTTATTGTGATTTATACACACACATACAAATTAATGCAAATGCACTGATGATATTAATTGAGTAGGCATTCTGGGGTTGTCAAGATCATTACCACTCGAGGGGTTCTTAGAAAGCCATGGGCTGACCCCATCTAGGAACTTGGGCAGGTGAGGAGAGATTGACTGCACTATGACATGTCCATAGTCACCATGGGTGCCTTTTCCTATAGTCAGACAGAGGGCTATCTTGAATATCACCATGGAACATTTGTATGACAAATGATGGAGATCAAGTGGGTAAAAATAAGAAAACTAGATGATGCTTCCAAGCTCCAGTTGAATAGCCAACTGATGGAGAATAAGAGCAAGGATGTCAGGAATAAAATGGCTTGGTCCACACACTGTGACACCGAGACACTGTGCCTGTATGAAGGGGATTTCAACTAAACCATTGGCCTGGGAATGAAAGAACATGAGATCAAAGTGGAAGCTCTGAATGTGGCTGACAATTGGGGCAGACTGAAAAGCCAATGATATTGGCACTGGCATATGTCTGCACTTCATATACAGGCTTTTATGTGATCCTATTTGATATGATGCATACCTTCCTAAATCTCGATGGATGAAGTTTGGGCTTGGACTTCAAACAGGTCAAGGTACCCCACCCTCAATTTGGATTGGAGAAGGAGTGGAGATGTTTGGTGGGGGAGCGAGAAGAAATTGGGAGGAGGAAATGAAGTAGAAATTTTGATATTCATTATTATGAAGTAATATAAAAATCAATAGAAAATAACCCATGAGGAAATTGGAG